TAATTTCATTTAGAGAAATTTTGGTATTTTTCATCAATTAGGATTTAAGAGAAAAGAGCATTGAAAAAAAATAAGGTTCATGTGAAAGTTTTGGTAATTTTTTACTATGATATCAGAAACATATGATATTTGAGAAATTTTTAACCAATGAACTGATATCATAAACATAAACATGATAGCCAATCAGATATAATTTGTCAAAATTTATGAATGGACTTTGATTGATTAAAGCTCTTCCCATACCATGTATTTCCCACATTATAGATTTTCTCAGTTATTTATTACTAACCCCATAAAAAGGGATCTTTGTAATTTACGTTTTTCTAATAGTGACATACAATTTCTGCAAATTGAATGGTCACCACCACCACTCAGCCACCCACCAGAAACATCAACTAGGTAGGTTCGCCGTTCGCCGTTCGCCTTCAATTCAATGTAGTAATAGCGTAAGAATTGAGGGTACTGATATCTTGTTCCTAACAACACCATCTACCACACTGCACAAAGTGGATAACCGACTTCCCTTGTCAAACAAGCTTTTGGGACGTCTGATTGAGATCTACTAAAAACAACCATACCCCTGTCACCATGCATTTGTCAAATGCCCCATCTGAAACACCAATCTACGGGTGAAAAGTTGCCCTCACATGAGGGGCTTTTTATAGCACCACGAAACGACCCTTGATGGAACAAGCGCAACTATTTTTTGCTAGCCTGTGGAACTTTTCGCTAATTATTAATTAAGTTGATACCTGCGAGTTCTAATCCTTTGTGTGCTTAGTAACTTAGTATTTCGTACCAAATTAAATAAGATTTGGTTTCTGACTTTCTGTTGGATGGTCAAACTCATACTCAACCATTTGCCCCAAGTGTAATCAATTTCTCGATTGGATTGCGCACATAACGGTTAGGCCAGTGCCCATACTTCAGTCCTAATAATCCCAACTATACATGGGTTCCTTCCAAATTATACCTGTTTTTAGGTCTAGTTCAATCGGCTAAGACCATTTAACAATCTAGATGGCCAAAAAATGTAATTAACTCTTGGGGTTTTGTCTTTGAATATTTAGATTGTTTGATAAGCATCTTAATCTACCATGGTATACATAATTATTAAATGAAAAAAAAAAATATATATATATATATATATATATATAGTGCAGAGAAAGATAAGAAATTTTAAATGAAGCTTCAAGATTTTTGATCATTTTGAACTATCATTTATTGTTTTCTATCTTTAATTGCCAAATAGAGAAGTCATTTTTAGAGTCTGAATTCATTTATTAATTCCCCAAATATATATTTATCCCCACCCCACCCCGCTATAAACATCAACTCCCAAATATTTTCAATTTATTAAAATAAGAAGAAAATATATGTATAAAAAGAAATAAGAAAGCAAAATAGATGTATAGGGGGAATCGATGGTTATGATTGGGGAATTGGCATAGGAGTTATATATGGGGGGTCAACGCCTAGGCTAGGTTGTTGTTGCCTTGTTGCTAGCTACTGCTAAGCTTCCTGCCTCATTCCTTCACCCATGACCCATCCATCACCTTAAGCTCATAATTGTTGTCAACCCCCCATCTCACCAACTGTACGGTATTTCTCTTATAAAAATGAAGAATCATCGATTACAATTGGGCTCAATCTCGATTGTTTATAGTTTTATGGTAGCATGCCATGCTATAATGCTAATACATGCACAACCCTTTTGGATTTTTCTTATAAAGCATTGATGGTTAATTCATCAACCCCATGCAAAATTTGACAAGCTTTGTCCTACTAATTAAAATTCTCTCAAACAGTCGTCTAAGATCCCAGGAGTCCAATGTCCAGTATTTTTTTATATTCCTTCTTCCCAAAAGTTCACAACTAAATAATCCGGATCAGAATGGTAGCAATCTTATCACCATATATTGTTAATTAACTTATTAGTAAATTAAACAGTAACTTGAATTTGAAACCCCTTTTTGTGCATGTTCATACATATATTTATATAGATTAGGCTTTTCTTGGTATAATTTAATGGTCACCCTAATGTGGGTTAGGTATAATTAAATAGAGAAAGCTTTATGATAACATTAGTCAAATAAAAGAATTTTCAAGTGAACTTAATAAGCATATCACAATGTTATGATTGTGTGGGTGTGGTCCTTGTAAGTTATTCTTAAAAGTATGTAACAGTTTGTTCTCATTTAGGGTGTGATTTAAGAGTTCAATCACCATCAACCAACTTCTTTTTCCCTTTACTTAGAATCAGATGATATGATAATAACAATCCATCTAATTTTTTTTTTTTCTTTTTTTCTTTCGAATGGTCAAATAAAATACTATGTTAATGTTAATCCATTGCACCCAGTAAGAAGAATTGACCTTAATGGGTTGAAGCTATAAGTCTTGAAGAGCCAGGGGTAGGTTAAAAGTAGACATGGATTGACATAGTGAGAAATGATTTGATGTCACCCATTTTTTTCTTTTCCACTCCTGCCCTCCGTATCGATTCGTAAAAAAGAGGGGGAATAATGATTAGGTACATGGGCTTATATGTCATCATAATCATCATCTAGCTTTAAATATTTTTGATCTATTGAACTTAGAAAAAGAAAAAAAGATGCATGCTAACCAGGGATTCACATTTATTTGCAAAATCTCCAAGTGAAAGGTAAGTGTGCACTTGCAGGCGAACAAGAAAAAGAAAACGTAAGCGTGCACGTGTGCCCTCTTTTTCTTAATTTGGTATTGCATATTACTCAATGGGGAACAGAGCAGTTTGCAGTTATAAGGGTTGGATCCTAGGCCATTACATTTTAAAAAATACTTTCATTGTTTTTTAAATTTTGAGAAGAGAGAAAATTGGTCAATGGGATTTTGGTTTTTATTGACTAAAAAATTTATGTTATTTTTTAAAATTTATTTATGTGAAATTTCTTAAATATCAATTACAGAGGTACAATACCAATACTTGAATGAAACAAAATTTCCCTATTTTCGAAATAAAAAAGCATGAATAAATGTAATTACCCTGATAAATAACTTACAAAAAAACAATCGGGGACTTAATGCCACCTTAAAATAATGTGAGGGATGATAGGGTATTGTAGTGACTAATTAAGGAATTAAAATTTCTCAAAGTGCAAGTGAATAAAACGCTTTAGAAAAAGGGCTGCATTTTGGATGCAAAGATAAGAATAAAGAGGGAGAAAGACGTGAACAGAATTGAGACAGTCCGTCTGAATTGGGATGTCATATAGTCCGGACCTTTCCACATTGCTTTGGCAAAGCCTGAGAATCCCAAATTCCGACTTGAAAGAAAGGACGCTGGAACATTCGATTCAATGTATTGGAGATGAATGATCTGTTGTCATACACTCAATACTCCTTTAGGGAACAAGCTATTCATCTCACGTCCTAATCACCTGAAACTTACCTTCCTTAACCGCCAGTAAAAGCATTTCAGGGGTAAAAGTATCCGCCGGAGAATTGCATACACAATTTATTTTGGTAATGTTACCTAAACTTTCCTCTTGTCTTAATACCTTTTGACCATTTACTTCCCATCTGTCTGTCTGTTCAACACTTGACCAATTTACCTTTCTAAATATCAAAACTACCCACTGTGGCATCTTATGGCTACTGGTTAGTGAGCAGAGAACAATTAAATATTTAGATCAGGTGTACTCTTTCTCTCTCTCTCTCTCTCTCTCTGATTTAGGGAATGTTTGCCACCGATGGAGATTTCCTTAGAAACACTGCCATGTCAGATCCACGTCAGTGGAATCTGCGCTGAAATTTATGTTTCATTAGTCGATTTTGATAATTTTCAGACAACCGGTCAAAAACCGATTCTTGGTGATTTTCATGATCTCCAGCTAACCAAGCAGACTCAAAAGTCTAATTCTGAAAAATCAGTTTATACGGAAATGATAACAAATAACAAAATTGACTGACTTTTAAAAAATCAATAAGAAAGAATCAACATCAGTGCCAAATATCACCCTAACCAGCATATACCTGTCCAAATGGAGTGGTTTTTTTTCTGGGAAAATAGATTTTGGGGCGAAGATGGGTTTTGGGATGTTATAACCTTCCAGGTTGGGGTTAGGGAGGATTTTACGTTTTCATGTGAAAGGAGCCGCTAAAAGTTTTGATGAGGGTATGAGTTGGAAGATTAAGGTGATGAATAGAGTATAAAATTTATCAAAGATTCCCGAACTTGCCACATTGCTATCCCTAATGTGAGATATATTAGCATATTTAATTCAAGTTAAGGGTAGTATTGGATTTTAACCAACAAGAAGATTCCAGTCCGTAGTCAAATTGAAGGGATAGCTAGCTTTAGTTATTGTCAGATAATTAAGGAGAGGAGAGGTTTAAGTAAATTTCTTTTATATTTTTAACTTTGGAAGAGGAGAAAAAATGGGAATAAATAAAGATATATATAAAAGCTTAGAACGGATTAATAGGCTCCAACTTCTTTTCTTCTTTTTGACCGATGAAATCTGACGAATAGGATACGAGATTAAATCCCAAGTGGAATCCTAATCTCATCAATCTCTAAGAACAAGAAGCAAAGAAGGAATGAGCGCAGTAATAGTAGATATTCCTCGATTTCTTTTCTTCTCTTTGGTGACGGCCATGTCTGCGATGGCTGGTGAGGGGGAACGGATGGGGTCCCGCACAGAAAGCAAAAGCTTCTCACTTTCTCTCTTCTCGTAGTACTCAGTACTCACTACTACTTGATAGAGCGAAGATCTGCCTCTGCTTTATCTCGCCTTCATCTTCTTTCGTCTCCCAAGCCTTTTCCCATTTTGCGTGTGAACGTGATCTCGAATCTTCATTACTTCCTCTTTACTCTCTCTCTCTTTTCTGTTCATCTATATTGCTTCTGATCAACATATTCCAACCTCTGATTCTTCGAGGGAAGAAGCATTTTACCCAAATCTTTCCTTCTTATATAATTAAAATGAAAATTAACTACTTAAAGAAAAACATTTCAATTAAAAAACCGAAAAAAAAGGTAAGTATTTGATTATTCTCTGGTGTAGAATAAACCTCCAAACCATAAAAATTCAAAAAGGATGGTAATATATTTTTTTCCCCTTTTTGATGACAATATTGCTGGAACAACTACAGAATCAAGCCACTAGCGATGGCGCGATTCGTATCGAGATGGGTTGTTTCGTACACCGGAAGCTCTTCACGATACCTGTCGATACCAATTACTGCTAGGTTCTCGAGCTCAAAAAGGTCGGAGCTTGAGTAGCTCGCCGCATCATCGTCGTCGTCTTCCTCTTCGTCGTCATCGTCGCGAACGTCGACGTTGGCGTCTCTCATTTCGAAATCACTCTTCTTCTGATAGCTCTTCAGAAGATCTCGTGCTGCTTCCTCCACTCGCCTGTTCTTCTCCATTAAGTGGAATTTAAGTTCCTCATTCATCAACCGGGGCTCTGCAATTGGTCTCACTATCAGGCCCGGATCATCTTCATATAGACATTTGTGTCCACACGGTCGGCAGTCCTCGTCCACGATCACGCTAACTGGATAGAATCGGACGGACCTCTTCAAGCCATTACTCAATTTTCCCCTGGAAGATGGGCTTTTGCTTAAACACGATCTCGAGAATGACGACGCCGACGAACATGTCGACGCCTGCGCCGATTTCGAGTTCCTCTCAGAACACGTATCCTCCCCACCACCAACCGAAGATGATATCTTTGCCTTCTTGGCATTACCTGAAGTAAACAGAGAATTGAGAAACATTGCAAGTCGTCCCCCTGGGGAGATCGGTTGCTTCACCTTCTTTAGATCGCCATAGAGCTTTAGTGCTCTGGATTTAGTCTTGATGAAACGACCGCCTTCGTTTTTCGAAGGCTTCTGCTGTGGAACTGAATCTTTCTCCAGATGATGACGACGATGAGTTTCTTCAAAAGCATGCAACTTTATCTCTAGTTCATGATCGTAGTAGTGCAGAGGTTTCTCCGACCGAACCGGTATACAAGTTCGAACCGGTTTCGACTTCTGCGCCGTGAAACCCGACGACCTCGATCTAACTCCGTAAACGGACTCCGCTTCCGAAGAAGAAAATCCACCTCCGGAGCTAGAATCTGAAGAGCATGAAGTGGAATTGAGGAGTGTGGAATTTCGATCGTTCTGTAACTTGAGGTCGAACTCCGGCGTCGACTTACGACGGAAAACGACCTTCTCGCTTACCTTTTTGTCCATCCATTTCTCGATCATACACCCTCGCCGAAGACTGTCCATCTCTAAGAAACTTCTTCCTTTGAGGCCGCTGCTGGTACAGCTCTGTTTCCTCCCCATGCTTTCTCTATAGAGAACAAGTTCTTGTTCTCCTTCTCCGTCGCCTTCGTCTATGGAACGGTAAATTGCGTCGAGGAGGGTGGAAGAGAAAGATGGGTTCTTTCTCTCTTGACGAAGAAATCTGTCGTCTCTTAGCGATTTCTCCCAACTATCCATCTTTAGAAGATTTATAGACCGAAGAAGTTGGTATTAAAAAAAAGAAGAAGACGGGAATACAGGCGGGGAGAGGAGACGGGCAAAACGGCAGAAGGTTTCGGCCTACTCTCGCTTTGTTGTCTGCTGGGGAAGTGTCAAAAGCTGCAAGAGCGATTAATCAAGCCAGAGCATGTGAAAAAACAGAGAAAGAGAGACGACATTTCTTGAACAGAGTATCTGTTGCTGTTGTTTTCTCTCAGTATCTAGCTGTTAACTGCGAGAGAATGCGGAGAAGAAGGGAACATAGGCTGACAGTGTAATCGATGTGTGCTTGAGGGCCTGTTCTTTTTGCTGGTTTCAGAGAGAAAATGAGTTATGAAGAGAAGAGAGAGAAAGAAAGAGAAGAAAGATGAGAAGGAGGAGGAAAGTAATGAAAGCCAAATGCCACGCCTTGAACTTGAAGAGTAGAGAGACGAGAGTCGAAACCAGAGACTAGAGAGAGAGAAAGAATGGTGTTCTATTTCTTTATAAGGAGTAGGGTAATAGGGTTCATGCGTGCGCGTGCGCAGTCCTAGTTGGCAAATGCCAGGTTGGCATTTGATGACGTGGCGATTGGGTTACCTTTTTTTGTTCGAATTTAAAACCGTTTTTCTTTTTAGTTCTCCGGTGTAGATTCTCCACCATATTATATATATATATATATATATATATATATATTTCATTTTTCTTTCCTTCATTCCATGAATTAATTTCCGTATAAATTAGAATTTAAGAGTTCAGATATACGGAGAGAAGTGTGTGTGTAGTGTACTCAATGCACACTGCAAAAAACCAGACCTACTTTTTTCGCCCCCTTGCATCTGGGAAATTGAAAAAGGAAAAAGAAGCAGAGCAGACCGGGTCCATTCATTTAGAGTCTTTTCTTTTCAGGTAGAAGACCGGGGGTCCATTCACTGATTCACGATGATATTGGGTTGGGTTTTGGCTTTGGGCCGTCTAATATAATACTGCAGCTACATATAGAGATGGTCTTCATTAGTTAACTAATTACCCAAGTAATTAGAAATTATATATTCATTAATTAGTTAACCAAACTCGGGTTTACTATATATACGACTCATGGCATGGATTATGAAATTTTTAGCCTGTGCCTGTGGACCATCATAAGATCAAAAAATAAAGATGGGTGGGCAAGATCAAAAGAAAGTAAAACCTAGATAGCAAAAGCAATTTTTAAATCAAATGGATATATTAAATTTTGATGATGGGTCCAGATTCTCTATACATGAGACACGTGGTGATTAACGGAAGTGCCACTCATAAGTCTTATAATGAAATGAGGCCCCTATATAACGTTCTAAATATCGATCGGCCTGTATCCGTGTTTTTTTTATGCTTTATTCTTTTTTTCAAATCAGTTCAGAGGGATTAGTTTAAATCCCGATTACCTCTGACCCATAACCTGACCCCATAGGCCCCGATAACGATATTTTAAACTTTGCCCCTATATTAATTATTAATATTCCTGCCCTTTTATTCTCTTCTTTATTTAATACAAATATTACAAAGGAAGCTTAAGCTGGGTCAGGAAGGTTGGAAGTTTGGTGGTGGCGGTGCGAGATGGCACTGAGCTGGCGCCTGGCGCAACGCCATATTTTATGCCTGAACGGCTGAACCGTAACAAACTTATACCTAATATATATATAAGCTAAAAAAGAATCAATAATAGTAATACTAAGAAACAATTCAACTGTATTAACTAGAATAACAAAAGAAAAAGCAATGGTTGTTCAACAAAAAAGAAGAATTATAGAATATATAAATAAAGATGGACAGGATAAAAAGGAGAATAAACTAGATAAATGGGTTCCGTATTCACGTGTTGCCGGAATCAGCGCTTGTGTTTGTTGTGTATACCATAATTACAAAGGGAAAGAAGAATGAAGAGAAAGAAGGGGGGTTGATGTTTGATGTTTGATGGCAGAAGAGAAGAGTGAAGAGTGAAGAGAGATAAGATAGAGATAGTGGCGGAATGTCGACGCCAGCACACACACACACACGAGGGGAAGGGGGAGAGAACTGAGTGGGCAACTTTCTAAAACAAAGGATTATATGTACCCATCATTGCTACCTCTTGCCCACATATTATTTGTGCCAGGGAGCTACACTTTGGCCCGGCCCATCCCTCTAAAGAGAAAAAGAAAAAGTTTGAAAAAACGAAATTATTTGAGAAAACAAAAGAACCAGAGACATGGCCCACCTCAAAGGCTGATGAAGACCGTTTATTTGGTGCCCCCACCTCTTCGATGTGCCTATGGATGATGCAACCAAAATCATATTCATTACTCGTGTCTTATTTCAGAAAAAAAAAATATATATATATATATATAACAACAACAAATTATGGAGAGAGAGACTGAGGGAGAGTTATGATAGAGTTGTTGCTCAAAATTTGGCTTTGTAGACATAAATGATAAATGGCCCAAATCAGAGTCCAGTAAAGAAAAATGTTCACTAGCATTCTATTACATTTGGGTTAGACTCCTCATCATAACAGTAATGAGGTACGCCTAAGCTGTAATTAAGGGTCTATTTGTTTTGTAGTTAGAATTGGAATCGGAATGGTCTATTCTCATAGTCTGTTTAGTTCATATTGGAATTAGAATAGGAATTGAAATCAGCAGAAATGAGATTTCATTCCCAAAGGATAAGCAGGGAATGACAATTCCAGCAGGAATGAAAATGGGATTCCCATTCCACCCAACCAAACAGTTGGAATCAGAATAGCCCATTCTAATTTTGATTCCAAACCCCTATTCCTGCAAGCCAAACAGGGTCTATGAAACATCAGCACCCACTCCACAATAATGCCAAGGGAGTGCAACTATGATACTGGAAAAAAAAAAAAAAAAAACTTGTATCCAATCTAGCCGTGTCATAAAAATGGTAACCAATGAGGTAGGATCTATCAAAATTCAGGGTGAGGGTTTAATGGGTAAAAACCCTTCCGTGTCATTCCACATTATAGTTTTAAGATGAGTTGTCATGTTAATAAGGGAGTCACTTCAACCAAAAAATGTACATCGGGACTGATCATTGCTGTTTAGAGTTCAAGCAAGGTTCTAAATATTGATACGGTAGGGTGTATCGGCCTATACTGGTGCTTTTTTTGTGTTTTATTTATTTATTTACCAAAACCGGTTTAGAGGGATCGGTTTAAGTCCCAGCTACTCTCTGAATCATGGCCTGACCCGATACACCCACTGTAGGGGCATATCGAGAAGGCCCCGATACGATACTTATCGGCCGATATGGGCCGATACGTAACAATATTTTGAACCTTGGTTTCAAGTAACAACAACAAATTGTACCGATCAACCCAAAGCATTTCTGATTGTGTGGCATAACAATTCATATTTTAACTCCTATTTCTATTTGATCAACCCCAAACATTTCATGAATAAACAACAATAATATGGTGTGGCAAATAAAGAGAAGTGATACAGAAAAATATTAGCTCCTACCTGGTCAGAAAAGACATGCATCCAACCAAATGCATTTTATACTTAAGTTTCAGATGGTTTAAGGTCAAGAATATAGAGTTTATGTTTTAGGGTTTAGGGTTTAAAGATTTAAGATTTATGGTTTTCAGTTTAAAATTTAGATTTATATTACAAAAATCAAAAGGTGATCAGACGCTTTCATTGGACCATGCTTATACAATGGCCAGCCCCCCTCAACCACAAGTGGCATTTTCCCCCTAAAGAATGTGGTGGGATGTTGCGAATCAAGAGCAACCATGGCCAATAAATGGGTGGTTCTAATGGCAACATTAAGATTGTGTTTGGTTTGAAGGAAAAAGTAGGGAAAGGAAGGGAAAGGTGGGAAAACCTTAACAAACCTTGTATAGATTTCCTTGTCTTTCCCTTCCTTTCCCTACTTTTTCCTTCAAACCAAACATAACCTAAAAGAAAATCATATCCATCAATGTATTAGAAAGCATATATGGACAGAGTACCAGAAATGGATTAATAATAATGGATAGTTTGAAAGGAGAGATTCCATTCAGATCATGATCAACAATATGGGGATAGCCAAAGTTAAAAAAAAAATATATATGTAAGGGAAACTAAAAACAGAAATCTGAGTCGTATAGATAAACATATAATTAAACATTATTTATAGGGAAAATTCCTGATTAGTATCTTGTACTTAGGGCTTAGTGTTACTTTGGTCCTCAAACTTTAAAAGATGACAATTCCGTACCTGAACTTTCAAAGCGTGCTAATTTAGTAGCTACCGTTAATCAACAGTTAAGTGGCATTTGAAAAAACACAAATACCCTTCAAGTGTTATCTAAATTTTTTTATCAATCGTCTAAACATTGACAAAAAAAAAATGAAAAGTCTCAAATCCTTGCCTCTTCTATTCAATAAAGTTGAAGTCACCAAAAGAATGCTCACTAAAACATGACCCAACTTTCTTGAATAGAAAAAGGTTTGGGACTGTTCATTTTTTGTCAATATTTAAATGATTAATAAAAAAAAATAGATGATAATCAAAAGACATTTGTGTCTTTACAAATACCACTTAATGACTAACTAATGGATACTAAATTATCGTATTTTAAATATTGAATTATCATATTTTAAAATTCATAAACCAAAGTGGCACTAGAACCAAAATACATAATATTAATCATTTCTCTTACTCATATGTGATGTATACTGAAATAAACTTATATAATTCGATAGTTAACAAATTGAATTCGAGAAATTAATACGTCTGAAAATATAAGAGTGAAGAGTTGGATCGAATTCACGTGGAGACAAAAGACGCAGCCTCCATCATTCATGTAAGTGTGTCAACCCCACCTTGGTTTTGATGGCAGGCCAGAGTGGATCACACCTAACTTAAAAATATAAGCCAAGATTTGAGATCACATAATGTGTAATAATAAATTGACTGACGCACACTTCGTCCTATCAATTGTTGTTCCAAGTCCAACTCTGGTTGATATGACTGATGGCTTATGTCAAATTTCAAATAGAGAAAATTCAGAAGAAACGTGGAGGGAAATAGTAATCGACATAATAAAAAATATTTTAACAACCTGATGATCAACGGATTGCCGTTTATTACAAATTCATTCTATTCAATTGTACTGCTGTTGCTGTTTGTGGGTGAAGGGAGTGGGATATTGTGTTGTGGGGGTGATTTAATGTTAGAATCTCTTCTAAATTGGACACGTAGAGAGAGCCAAATCAGTTAATTGGTTGCCATATTAGTAGAGAGGTATTCAAGTGTAAGTTCTTTTTTTGGATTTTGAGAGAAGGGAAAGCTAGTCAACGGGATTTTGGTTTTCATTGATCAAGAATCTTATGGAATTTTTTCCTCAACTACGGGGAAAGTTAGCAATACTTGAATGGGACAAAAATGCCCTTTTTAATTATGGATTTTTATGATTAAAATGGTCATTGCCTTATTTACATGAAAAATAAAATGGGTAAATAGACCAACACCTGAATTCTGGGAGGATAGAACTAGATCTACCTCATTCCAAGAATTAATGCACTACTCAGTAATGCGAGGATGCTCTCCCAAATCACACATTCACTCGTGTGAAAGTGTAGAGTCCAATCTGTAAAGAAATTGTTTGAAGCATGAACAAGCCTGAACCCATCTATACCTTGTCCTGAAATTTAATCAATTATAATGGGCAGCAAATTGAACAACTAGACCACTGTAAGAAACTCTCTCTTCACCGGTACTGTATATTCATACATGAATTTTGGTAAACCAACTCAGTCATGGAATCTTCTACTCCAGCCCTGTATATATAGCTCTGTCAAAAGTCAAAACTTATGGGATTCTTTTTCTTTCTGGGTAAAATTAAAAACTATGGGGGATATGATTCTTTGATACTTTATAGAGGGCGTAGAATAGAATTTCTCTAGCCATTAGCCAATCCCCAGGACTGAAACTCCAAACTAGCTAAGATCTAGTTAACAAGGGTCAAAAGGTATATATATAGCTAGATTACGGAGATTGCCTGGTTTCCTTAGCAGGAACGACTGGAATAGATAGAGAGGGACAGAATATATAGGACCCACCCCTTCCAGTCTGCGTCTATCTACCACTGTGACCCTCTGTAACTGTAACAGGCTAACAGCTACCAGCTAAGAAGAGATAGATGAGGCCAAATTAATATCGATCGTTAGCGTGTAGGGGACCAAAGACCAATAAGCAATCAACTTCAATAAATAACGGCTTCTGGTTTTGTGTTGCTGGTCGGTGTGGCTTTGACTTTGTTGGTTGGTTGGTTCTGGACCGCTGGTTGGTAATTGCATGGGTGAGACAATGGAGTTTGGTAGCACCCAGGACCACCTACGTGATCAGCACCTTCTCTATTTTTTTTCTGAGACATGTCGCTATTTCGCTACACAAAAGAAAGAAAGTAGTATTGATAGTGTAATTAATACTAGATTAGAGATTGATCAGAGAAATGACACCCACCTCGTTCCATGAAAAATATAAATTGATGGCTTAATGGCTTTGGTTCAACTTCATCTGGTTCAGTTGAGGATGAGTTAAAGAAAAGGTCAGGGTGTTGCCGTGTTGGCTTCTAAATTCCAATGGACTACAGAATAGAGAGAAGAGGGGGGTAGCGCGCGGGGTGGCAGCCTTTGATAAAGTAAGTCCAAAGACGAGAGAAGATGGAAAAGGATTCGAGTTGGCGATCCCGAGAAGGAAGATATGATCAAAGAGTAGTGACAGAGAGAGAGAGAAATAGCAAGAGCCAAGACAAGAGTCGGTCCTGCTCTTTCTTTTCTCATATGAATCTATTCAGATGAGTCCTCTGACTGACTGACAGAGCTATATGGCTTTATCACATCTCTCTCTCCTCAGTTTTCTTCTTTCTCTGTAGCCTGGACCCCCCCCC